TGGGGAGCTCACTGAACCCGCAGACCTCAGAGTAAATCTCTCCGTCTTGTTGGAGAAACAGCTTCGAAGTGGGATGCTTTCTGAGAGCAGGGGCCGCAGCCAAGCTCTCCTGTGAGACACCCAGGTCGAAACTCAGGGAGAAACAACTGCATTCTAAATCCAAAAGCTACACTGGGCTCTGGCCATGACTCCAGTTGGTGTCCAGAATTTTATCTCCTTTCCATTTCCTTGGACCCACAAGGAGCAGTTTCTTATGTATGGGTGATGTTGAGGATATTTACCCAATTAGAAACTGAGTTAGAGAAATTAAAAACTGTATGTCTTACTGGTAATGTTTGTAGACACAAAGCCATTCTACACTAAAGTAAACCAACATTTTTATGAAAAGGACTTTATTTCTGAAAATAAGGAGACGTGTAGTGAGGACAGCGGTTCCGTTTCAGGGTTTTGTGGAAACTCTGGACATCTAGCTTCATAAGAGAGGGCTGGCTTCTTGTGCCTACTGCCGCTCCCCCTCTACCACGACATCTCGTTTACTTTAAAACAGGGGTGAAGGGCCAAGGATGTAGCTCAGTGGCATAAGCGCCTGCCTGGCAAGCGCAAGGTCCTGAATTTGCTTCCCGGTAGCACCACCCCCTCAAAAAAATGTTCAATAGAACAGGGGTGGAGTTGAGGAAGGAATGGCTATCAAAAGAGCCTCTTTAGAAAATCATGGCTCCTCTTCGGGATGACATGAACACTTCATGGATGGTAGTTTTGAAAGATTTGTTGCAATGTGAAACTTGACCCATGTCAACCTACACTGACATTAAAACCTTATGTTAACCTAACGTTACAACTATGTGTCGTTACACTAAAACCTCCCATTTTAAATGAATCTTTTACCCGGGATTTCGCATCTGTCAGTTGGAAAATATCAGTTCCATCAATGGTGCAGACCTTCTGTATGATGGAACATTTCATAGCACAATATCAAAAACCCCAGGCATCACTGTTACCCCAATCTCATGAGAATAGCACTTTGGTTTGGGGAACCCATCAAGCTCAGAAAGGCAGACACAGTTCCCTCAAATCCCAAGTCTTCGCTTTAAAGTCCAGGTCTTATCGTTGATGACAGATGCTGTCATTGGTGACAAATCCTGCCAATCATTTCTCTTGAGGTGACACTTTCATTTCCTTGTGTTCCAGAAGCATCTGCAGAATCCCACTAAAACAGTCCTTTTAAGTAAAAATCGTGTCCTATGAAAAAACTGGCTGGTCACTGAACAAGTGCTTTTCCTCCAGGACCATGGCCGTATGTATGTTTGTCATTTCCTCAAATAGAATGTGTGTTTAAAGGTGAGCTCCAGCTGGGTGTAGAAAGTTATAATCCCAGCACCTGGGAGGCTGAGGCAGGAGGATCACCCCAAGTTCAAGTCCAGCCTGAACCACACAGTAAGACCTTTTCTCAAAAATAGATCAGATAGATGATTGATGGATGGATGGATTGGTGGATGAATGGATGGCATGTGCTTCAGAACTGTGATTCAATAGTTAAAGACTTTTACTGGCTCATCAGTGAGATTCTTAATTGCAGCTGGCATTCTTTCCCGCAGGTGCAGACTCTGATGACCACATGGACAGTTTGGTGTCGCTGTCCTGATCTGTGCTAAGGAATCCGCAGTTTCACATTATTATGCTTTCAGCATCCGTGCAGATAGTGGCCCCATGTGAAAGGGGAGAGGAAGTTTTGATGTTGCAAGTGTTTTCTCTACAAGACCCTTCAACAGGGACTCAGAGGCCCTGGGAGGCCACTGGGGCCACACGCTGGGATCCCCTGTCCACAGCTCACAAAGCGCTTTCCTCTGAATGCCATGGCTGGCCCTCCTGGAAGCTCTGGGATCTGTACTTCTGGATCCCCCCTGGCAGGATGGAGAACATGAAGCTCTGGGAAATGGCACCCTCGGTCCCTGGCCTCGGAGAGTCTTCGAGAGATGAGAAGGGTTGAAGAATGGAGCATTCAGCAGCGAGCACCCCGTCTCCACCCTGGCCCTACCTACTGCTCCCCTGGCTGCACGCAGGAGGGAGGAGATGCCACGGCAGCCCGGCACCGCAGGAGCCAGGTGGCCTTTCAGGGCCACAGAGGACCCAGAGAAGCAACTCTCCCCGTCTGAGACCCGAGCTCCAGGGAGGACTTGTGGAGCATTCTTGGCAGCAGATGACTGCATCCTGCTGGGTGTTTCAGAGTCAGGACTCAGCCCGGAGGAATAAGCCAGTGACCGTCAGTCTTTGAAGCAATATTATTTCTGTTTTCAAAATCACTCAAGACTCTTCTGTCCTGCTATTGTGCAAAGCCCAGGCCTCCCTACAAGACGTACATGCGTCCCCTGCACCTTTCTACAGCTGCATCTGGGGCGTGGAGCCCCTCAGCCTGGTTTTTTTGTGGGGCTCTGCCAGCGCACTCCTGGGGAGCCCGGGAAAGCAAAGGCAAGGAGGCAAGAAAAGCAGGAGGCCAAGCATCCTTGGGACCGCACCGTATACCAGCAGCGGGGAGCCCGCCCGGCCTGGGGAAGGCTTGAAACCCAGCTGGGGCCCTGTCTCCGCAAGGAGAGAAAGACAGACGTCGTGGGTGAATGACAGGCGCGTGCTTGCTGGCGCTGACCATCTTGTCTTTTCTGTCCGTGGGTGCCTTAGTCGCTTTTCTCATCGCTGAGACGAGCTACCCCGTCACCCACAGTTTAGCAGAGGAGAGGTGTAGTTTGGGTCACCTTTCACTGTGCAGGTGCAGGGGCTGGGCCACGGGAAGCGGAAGTGAGGGGCGGAGCCGGGAAAGGAGATACACCCGCCGGCCACGCCCGCTGATCCTCTCCTCCCAGCTCCAACAACTTCCCTAATATCAGAAACCCCTTCTGCAGGGATTCTGCAAGCCCGAGCTCAGGGACAAGGTGGCAGCCGCTAGAGTATGCAGGTGCGTGTGATAGGGCTGGAGTCACCCCAGCGCGGAAGGGCGCGTGCCCGATGCAGAGCCACCTCCCTGGGATCTTGATGCCCACACCCGGCTGTCTGTGACCCACGCTGCCTCGAGATCCATCATGGGCGGCAGGGTTCAGAGTCGGCGTGTGTTGGGGAAAATCACTGGGCACGCAGGGGTCCTGCTTGAGTGGTCAGGTTGGGGGGCACCTTGGGGAGGAGCCTTAGGGCCCCAAGGGCAGGAGAAAGCCCTGGCGGGAACAGAAAGAGAAGAGAGGAAGAGAGAGCACACGGTGACAAGTGGAGAGACTGGAAACAGAATTCACCTGCCGGCCCATGGCCCTCAGAGCTGACTCTGGACCAAGAGGGCGCCAGGGAGCATCTGTTCTGATGCTGCAGCAGTGCCCATGGCTGGCCCAGGTGTGCAGCGAGGATCCCTCTCCTGCCTCGCCGCTGCTCTTGAGCTCCGGCGCCTTCCTTTAGTCTTGAAACCTCGCTCTCATGGTTGCTTTGAGACGCGCCTTGGAAGAGCACTGGGGTGGGGTTGGGGGACAGTCCCGGGCTGGTGCGCAGCGGGAGGTGTCTCAGATCAGTAGGGGCACGAGGTTCGGGGCAAGGGCACCGGGCAAGAGGACAGCAGCCCCGAAGACTGAGGTCCACCCCAGCTGGCTCTCGCCAAGCCCATACCACATGCCAGTGAGGTCCACCAGCTCTTCACCACTTACAAAGCACATTTGCAAGGGCAGTGTGCTGTGCAGGTGGTGTTTATTTTTCTTTTAAGACGAATGATGCTAATGTTTGAGTTTTTTCTAAACTAAACCCTCAGTATTCAGGTTCACTTGCACACTGGCCCTCTGTGATAACTGGGTATGGGGTTGCAGTTGGGCAGTCAGTCTCGAAAAGCTCTGCCATCACTGACTGAGGTTTCCTTTTCTTTTAGTTTTGTGCTCCTGGGCGGGGGGAGACACAGAGCCTCATGCAAGCTGTATCCTGAGTACGTCCTCAGCACCTGGCCATGCTTATTTTAAATTCACAGCGCTGTTATACCCCCACCTTAAAGCTGAAGTGGTCTTTATTATCATTCTCATTTATTGATTAGTAAAGAGGCCCACTGAGGGGAAGTGCTATAAGTTTATCAATACTATTTCTTAACTTTTCATAAAAGTATGCTCAAGATTCTTTTCTTCATGCTCTCCAGTGTTTCCTGAGTGTGTAGATTGTACTTTTTTTGAGGCAGGGTCTTACTATGTATTCCAGGCTGGCTGTAGAAAGCACAGGCTGGCCTCGAACTCCCAGCGAGGTTCCTGCTGGAATTATGGGTGTGCACCACTGTGCCCGGCAGTTAGTGTACTTTAAAACGAATTTTGAACTGAGAGCTTCTTTGAGAGCCCTGGCAATTAGAGTTGTATGACGTGGGTTTGTTTTCCCTTTTGTCTTGGCCGTCAGAGATCCGTTCTGTTCTCCATCTCAGTGGCCATGCTCTTTGGCATCCTGCCCTGTCAGGACAGGGACAAGTACGGAAAGCAGAGGACATGGTCTATGCCCGTCGGCAAGGACGATTTTGTGGGGCAGCAAAGAGGTGGCTGAAGGTGCATTCAGGGGAAGCTGAGTCAGGATGTCCTGGGCTGGGCAGCCTGGCGCCCTCTGGGGCTGCCAGGGGTTCCAGGTAGCCAGGTCCCATGGACTTCCTGAGTTTGAGGTGGTGCGGCTGCCCTGCAGGGCTCGAAGCCTGGCATTCAGACAGCACACGTAAGACAGGAGCCAGAGAGGAGGGAGGTGTGGAAGGCAGCGGGTGCCTCCCTTGCACCTGAAGACCATCGACACGGGGGTTCTCGCTCAGGTCACCTGACTTCCGGTGGGGCCATCACCGTGGGGTGGGGCTGGACCCCGGGGTCCCAGAACCTGGTTCCAGGGTGCTCACTGCCTTCCTCCGAGTGGAGCCTGGGGTGGATCTCTGCTCATTCTCAGGGCACAGCGTTGTAATCTATGACACGGTAGCACTGTCGGTTCCAGAACTTTCTCTGCTGCATTCTATGTAAAATGGAGCCACAGAGGAGAGACAGTGCCTTGTCCTTTAAGATGTCACTGGGCCGAACCCCCACTTGACTCTCACTGCCCAGTGCCCCTTTGATGGCTGGGCTTTGTTGCCCCACAGCCTTGTTCCTCCAGGTGGGCACTGACTTTGAGGTGGACCGACTTCCTCTTGAGACCCAGCACCTGACGGCAGCCCCAGGAACCTGTTTGCTGTGGCGGCTGGGACCTCAAAGCCATACGCGAGGGATTCAGGGTCCTCATCCCACTGCGTCTCATTTTAGTCCAGGTCTCCAGACAGGGAAGCAAGGGGCGCATCCAGCATGGAGGAGAAAACAGCTCGGCAGTATCAGTGAATGAAGAGACAAATGAATGAATGAAGGGGAGGGAGGAATAAGGAGAAAGAGGAAGCGGGGTGGGGGAAACAAGACAGAGAAACGCCGAAGAGAGGAAAGTAAGATAGAGTGGGAACAGTTCTATTAATTCAGAGCTGGGCCCGTCCAAGCAGGGCGAGCTCTGATTTGGATGGAGGAGGCTTGAGGCGTTCGCCAGTTCCAGCCTCAGTCTGAGACGCGGCTTCTGTGTGCTGGGGTCAGCAGGGAGGTGGCGTGGTTTGACGCGCCTTGAGAAACACCTCAAGGGCTCCCCAGTGCTTACAGGACAGCCAGGGGCTGGAGAAGACGCGGGAGACCAGGCGGCAGCTTTGGCCCCCCAGGCAGGAGGTGGTGGCCCTGCCCACGGTGGAGAGGAAAGAAGTGGAGCGACCAGGGTTCCAGTTTGTGGGGAGCAGGCAGGGTGTGGTGTGGACAGGCTGTGGGGAGGCCCGGTGACCAAGGGTGGAGGGGAGAGCAACGCTCCCCTCCTAGCCCTGGAGGCAGCTGGGCCGCACCTGTTCCCGCAGGCTGTGTGTACCCCTAGCTCACACGGGTGACGTCGCCGTGGTCTGTCCTGCCCATGCTGGGCTTCACGTCCTCCAACAAAGAAACCCACAAATGGTAAGAGAGGCCGAATGGGACTGAGTCCTGGAAAGACAGGTTAATATCACCTGTGGTGGCCTGAACACTCTTGGGAGAGAAGTCACGGCAGGGCTTACGATGCGACTGTGATTCTGATCAATTAATTGTATAAACTGTATAACCTACGTTTACAGGCTTGAACAGACACATCCCCGTGACCAGCGGGATGCATGTCCTGTTGAGTCCTAGAATTGAGATTCCCAAAGTTAGGAGGAGCCTCAGAGGTCACCCACTCCAAATACCCTCTCTCCACCCAGACGCCTAGGAGAACCCCACTAGGATGCCTGGCACCATCCCGCCAGCACCTCAGGACCACGTGACACACCCTCGACCCTGGTGAGCAGGGGTTTCTCGTTTCTCCTAGCTGCAGACTAAGTGAGAAATACATCCCCATGCCCTCCCACCGCGGGAGTGCATCTCACACTCACACACGCACATGCGCACACACACGCACACACACGCCCCTCTGTTGAAAAGCACTAGCCCAGAGCACAGACTCCCAAACCTCCAGTAAAGCAGCCAGCAGCAACAGCAAGGAAACCCCGCGCCCCCTCAGCCGCTCTGCTTGACTCAATCCTTGGGAGCAGCCAGCGTTTTGTTTCTGTTTTTTTAAGCAAACTTAAATGATTTCCTCTGCCTATTTCCTTTGTGGATGTCTCTGTTACCAGAACTGGCAGTGCCACTGTCACCATGGCTTGGGCGCTGCTCGCCATGCTGGAGGGGGCCGTGAAACACGAGGGCCCAGCTGCTTTCTCTGGGCCTGGGACGCTTCCTGCAGCGAAGGTTTCTTGACGTAGTGATAATAGCAAAGTCCTGTCAGTGAGCGGTCGGGGTGACTTCCTGGTTTCCTAGTTAATTTCACCCTTTGAAGCAGTGCCCTAAATCCAAGTGTAAGAATGGCATCTGATCCCTGGGCTAGTCTGATAAATAGACGTTTTGAAGCTGGACTTGTCTAAGCGGATGCCAGCTCCCCTGAGCTGACGCTGCTGAAGTGAACCCTGGCAGTTTCTGGGGGGCACCGGAGAGGTGCAGAGAGGGAGCCCCGGCCTCCCCACGTGGCCTGCCCGACCGCCAGCCCCGGGTCTGATCAGCCTCAGAGCCTCAGTTAACCTCATGCTCAGGAGAGGAGCTCTTAATTTCACAAGTAAAGACACGCCGCAAGAATACATCAAATACTAACAAAGCATGAGAAAAAAGAACAAGGAAGGAAAGAAGGAGGGAAGTGGTGAGGTGAAGGTTGGGGGATATGTTAATTTGATTGTCATTAAACAACATATTCTATGTCAAATCATCACCCCATATACCTGAAATGTGTAAAACCACTGTCTGTCAATTATACCGCAAAAAGCTTGATTAATAAAAGGGAGAGAGGGAAGGAGGGACTAAGAAGAAAGAAAAGAGTAAAAAAGAAAGAAAAAAAAGCAAATTAAACTCAACCAAAATTCCATCCCCTGGAGAGAACCATTAATAACATTGTGGTGTGTATCTGTCAGTTCATTCCTCAAATTGCTTCGGATCTCAGACACACAAGGTTTTCAAGATTATTTCTTGTTCTTTCAGCTCCGTGAAATTCGCGCCTCCTCCCTGGCCTCAAGGGCTTCACGCGGGTCCTGGTTTCATGGCCTTGCAGAGGCCCGTGTTCTCATTAAGATGCTGCCTCATCACCAGCCTTTCTGTGATGTACACGGAGATATAAAACCTCCGACTCGCTTCCAAGTCAGCCTCGCTGACCCGCCCTGGACGGCGTCCGGAGCACAGTGACGTGGCCCCCGAGTTCTGCTTGTGTTTTATGGGCTGCCGCAGCACAGAACTGTCTAAGGTGAGCAGCTGGTTCTTGTCAATGTTATGTCCCCGAGTGGTGTCCCAGTGCCAGGCACAGGGCAGGCGTTCAGTAAGCAGACTTGAACGGAAGAAGGCTGCATTCCTTACTGGGTCAGGCTCAAGGACAAACAGAGAACATTATCGATGGCCTTAGGTCCGGGCATCTGGGCTTTCAGAACACATGAGTCAGACTTGAGTGATGAACCAAAAAACAAAACCCATAAGATCAAGGAGTGTCCAATCCTGTCTATTTGGTGGGTGGCCAAGAAAGCCATTATATTTCCGGAAGGGAAATCCAAAATGCTTTGATCATAAGACAGCAGAAAGCCTTCTCAGGCCCTGCACCAAAATAAATGCAGTGGACAACTTCACCCCTGAGCGTGACGGGAGAGCCACACCCTGCCTCTCCAGGATGCTGGGCGTCTGCTGGAAACTGGGGTGCGACTCCCATGTCACACTCCTTCCTCTGCTGAAGATGCTGCCTATGCATGTGGTTTCATTTGTAGTGGAGGACAGGCTTAGGGCATTGCTCGTGGCTGATGTCTTACGGTTAATCTCCCTCAGTCTGAAGTTGCCTTTGCATCTTTTAGCTCAGATTTCCAGCCGGTATCATTTGTTCTGGGCTTTGAGGATGTGCGTGCTGCTAGATCAGTGGGAAGGAAGTCACTAGGGCTTCTCGGGTGGACACCCCTTCTAATTACAGACAGGTGAGGGGACCCAGTCCGTAGTTACTATTGTGCCCTGCCCACACCTTCCTACCGTTGATGGAGGGAAATGCAGACCTAGAGCTCCTTCCTTTCAAGGTCAGTCTCTTGCAAATGATTCCAGCCATTGTTCATCCAGAGCCTCACAGAAGTAGCAGATGTCGTGGTGTCCCTCCCAGCTGTCCGTGGAGAGCTCTTCTGTGCCAGCAGCCAGCGCCTGCTGGTTTCTCTTGGAGGGCCACCCTTGGGGCACTTCAGGAACCCCCTTTGCCTTATGTATGAGGAGCAGGAAGTGTTCAGAGGCAGCCCTTCGTCAGTGACACTCTGGAAGTCAAGGCATGGCGGCCCCCGGCAGGGTTATCTAGGTCCAGCCTGTACTAATGGAGCCCCTTGCAGGTCCCATTCCTCATTCCCTGTCAATATTCCTGGGAAAATGTCCTAATGAACCCCTCACATGAACCCTCCTCCCATGATTGTACTTCTGGGAAGCCCAGCCTAAGGCCACAGGCAGTGTGGAACCCCGCAATGCAGAGTGGTGGCCTGGCTTGGGTGGCATGCATGCACGCTATGTTGGTCACTGGAAAGTCACTGGCGGCTTCATTTTGGAAGAGGTCTGTGTCCCAGGTGGTGTGTGGAAAGCTTGGTCCCAGTGTAGGGGCACCAAGAGCTGGTGGGACCTTGGAGGTGATGTTAAGAGCTGGGGGAGGTCCTCAGGGCCCTGGGGTTGTCCCTGGGTTCTCACAAGAGCACTATCCTAAAAGAACACGGCTGGCTGATCTCCTGCTCCTGTGGCTCCCTGTTGTTCTCACACGTACTGACACACAAAGCCACCTGCCACAGGCCTGCACAGAGCTGAGTGTCGAGTGGTGCTGTGCCCCAGAAACTCCAGAACTTCCCTCTGTAAAAAGTTGGCCAGGGGCTGGGGATTTAGCTCAGCGGCAAAAAGTGCCTGCCTGGCAAGCGCAAGGTCGTGAGTTCGGTTCCCGGCACCGGAGGAAAAAAAAAAAAAAGAAGTTGGCCAGCTTCAGGCATTGTGTTGTAGTAACAGAAAACAGACTAATATACTGGCCTACGCTGTGGCTTTTCCTTTTATTTAAGTTCCTGTTGCATTACTATTTGTTCAAAACAAAGGTTGAGATCTGGGGTGTAGTTCTGGGAGATACATGAGGAAAGCTAGTAAATCTTCCTGCCCCAGACATTCAGAAAGGGGACCCAGCCCTGATGGTTCTGGGAGCAGAACTGGCTGTGTCCCACCTGGGGTGATGCCCAGGGCTCCTGAGGGCAGTGCTGCTGGTCTCCATGAGCATCAGCCTGTCTGGGTGCCCACAGGAATGAGGCTACCAGGGCCTCGTGACCCCACTGACTCCCTCTGACCTGCTCTGAGGGCGCCCTCTCCACTTTCATGGCCTCAGGACACTAGCAGACCCTGTTCGGTGAGTGTCAGCCACCTGGACGAGGGACGGAGAGGGAAAGCCAGGCTCCTGGGTCAAGCAAAAGAGGGACAAGCTCAGAATCCCCTCCTCCTCCCGTCACCCCTTCCTTCCTGTCCTGCAGCCGCAGTGACCTTTCATCTGTGGCCGCTGCCCACTGGTCCTCCATCAGCTCTGCTTGGGGACACTGTAAACGTCCCAGAAAGTGACCTTTCCCACCCAGAGAACCTGGGCTTTTCTTTTGCTTCTTATCATAGGCTCATTAGTTGCTAATGGGGGCAGCTGGGGCTGGAACCCCTTTGGCAGAGCCGTGATGGTGTCCAAGCCCTCCATGGTGACCTCCACAGCTGCCTCATGGTCCCCCTGCCCCATGGGGCACCTGTGCAGTGAAGGGCTCCCTTTCGGGACATTGACCTGCCTTTTCCTGCATAACCTGGGCTGGAGGAGCAGCTGAGAACCCTGGAGCATAAACCTGCCATGTTTCTGATCACAGTGGAGTGAGACCCCACACTGGCCATGGTGAGGTGAGCTGATGAGTGTGTGCCGTCTGGAGTGCTTGTGGTAACGTGGTTACACTGAATAGAAACTGGTGCTGGGAATCTCCAGGTGCACGAGTGTCTGGAGAACAGAAGAGATAACCAAGGCATCTCCTTCCCACTCTCTCTGGTTCACCCAGGAGGCCCCAAGGCCCCAGAAGGTAATGACTGCACCCCCAGAATCATAAGCACCACTCCATTCCTGAAGATTCTCAAACACAGAAATCACTCAGAGGCAGCAGCAGACAGCCTGACACCTACAGGGTCTGTGTGGACACAGCCAAGAGGGCAGGGGACCTGTGCACAGTGGTGAGCAAGGCAAGGCACCCTGCCTCCACCGGCCTCCAGGACGATGGCCCAACATGGTGGAGCAGAAAGGAGAGAACCCTAGGAAAGACTAGAAGTTTCTTCCAACACCAAAGACTATGGGCCTGAAACCAGAAATCCAATTTAAAGCAGAAAACGTAAAAATATTTTTCTTACAAACTGAGTCAGAGGGCTGAGGTTGATTTCAGCTGCAGACGAAAACCAAGGGTAGCCCTGAGCCTGTGGCCTGCAGCAGGGACAGCAGGAAGCAGAGGGCAGAGAAGGGTGGCAGTGTCCTCCAGCCAGGGCCTCCGGGGCCACCTAGAGCTGGACTTGTGACTCTTGCAGGGAGGGAGTCCCCACACACAGGGAATGGGGTGTCCTGGGAATGGTAGGACTTGAGCTCTTGATAGAGGATGGGAAGGGTTTTTACTGGGTGACCCAGTTAGGAAGGAGTACCCGAGCGCTCCTCTGGCGGCTGGCTGGCGAGAGCCAGGCTCCAGGGGTAGCCGGAAAAGCAGTAGCTGTTGCTCGGGTCAGCAGCACCAGGCTGTGCAGTCATGGGGTGATCTGAACGGCTCTGCGTCTGAGCTGTGCGCCCCACGATTCGAGAGTGAGGTCCCCCTGCCGTCGGGATCCATCCTTCTCACAGAGCGCTCTGGTTTGCTGTTGGTGGTCTGAGGAAATATTTAGGTAAGAGAAGAGCATCAAGACTTGTGGAGGACCATTGGGTGACTCTCCTTGAAAGAGGAGCAATTGTCTCCATCTTGGCTGAGCCTGGCCCTGTTTCCATGTATTGATGTGTGCAGAGCTGGCTGGGACCCTTTCTTTAATCCCTTCAGTTAGCTTTAGGCAATCAATGCATGTTGGTCCAGCCCAGGTGCTGGCGGTGGTCTTTGAAGACAGCAGGCGTATTTCCCTGGACCCTCCGTTGTTCTCACCTGTGAGGCGGGATGAGGTGGGATGGTGTCAAGCCGCGGGATAGAGGCTGTGACTTCCTGGGGCCTGAAAGATTACACATCAGAGCTGAAGCACCGACCCCAAAACATCAGATACTATCTCAGTCGTGTTATGCAGATTACTCTTTCTGCATACCCTCCTCTCTGCATATTGCAGAGGTGATCTCAGGCCTCCTTCCCAGCCCAGCTCACGGCACTCACCTACTTCCCACCATTCTCGCAGTCACGCATCCTCAAGCCGCTCCTTCTTCATGAAAGAATAAAACCCAGGTTCATCCGTGGGTCGAGGCCTTTGCTCCGGATGGCCATCATCATGGGTGAACTTAGGACCCCTTGGCTCCCTGCAGCTACAAATATGCCTTAGTGTCTCTAGTCCCACCATGGGTTGCACTGGAAGTGGTAGATTGGAATTAACTCGCTAGGATTCCAATAACTGTTCCGTGGGATTACAAATATAAACTTCCGGGGCTGAGATGAGGACCAGGAAGGGCTCTCTATAAACACCTGCCTGTGAGTTCCACACAGCGCAGAGTGGACTCAAGCCCAGCGAGTGGCTCTGGGCCGCTGCGTAAGGACCACGGCTGCTTCCCCTCTCTCCAGCTCGTGTTTCCTGGAGCCTCAGGCTGGTGAGGATGCGGGAGTCCCCTTGCCCTCATCCCACCGTCTGCAGCATCGGTACAGATGTGCATGATGGGTTATCCCAGAAAATCCCATCCAGGGGCCATGTACATGGTGAAACATTTTTGGAAAGCGGGTTTGAACATCGACCAAGATGCTTTAACCCATTAACACAACAACCTCTGGGGATTCCTTGTAAGGGAATCAGAACTACTTTACCAAGCCATATGCACAAAGATGTCCACTACTGAATTGTTTCAAAGAAAACAAACAGTGGCCACCTACATGCCCAACCACGAGTAGGAATTAGGTAAATACATTGGTGAACAAACACAAGACTGAGTGTTCTCAGGAAGCTGGTTGTCAAGTTTATGCAAGAATGCCCACCATGGTGTCTAGATACTTGGTCTATTTTAATAACATCGCCACTTAGGCAAAATTTAATCAATTCATGCTTTTGTGAATTCCCAGTACTCCAAGGGATGGTGACTTTTTAAAATCAAATACCTGATGGCGAACACTAAGAAGGGTCAGCACAATTTCCATGAGGCTACCGGAAGACAGGGTCATAGAGGGAACATTGACTTCTGCTTCTAGAAGGAGCAGCAGGAACACACGACCCCTCATTCCTTTAATCCTCCGATGCCTAGGTCTGGAGGTCACACAGAATCCAAAGTCACATGTGACTCAGTTTTCCCATGTGAGACTGGCTAACACCGACCCTACTGGCTGTGGTAAGGGATTGTGTCACTATGATGAAATACCTGAGATGGTCAGCTTATAAAGAAAAATCGTTTATTGTGGCTCTTGGTTTCAGAGGTTCAGTCCATGATGGGCTGGCCCTGTGGCTTTGGTCCTGAGGTGTGGCAGCATGTCATGGTGGGACTGAATGGCCAGAAAACCGAAGATCACGATGAGGGGGCTGGTCCTGCTACTCCCTTCAAGGGCGCCCACAGTTACCTAAAGGCCTCTGTGAGACCCCGCCTCTTGGAGGTTCTACTTCCTACAAATGACACCACCCTGGGGACGAGCTTTTAATACGTGGGCCTTAGGGGACCCTGGAGACCCAAACCATACCAGGGACAGACACAGGGTGGGTGTCTGACACAGTGTTCAGAGGAAGTGTGTCCCACCGCAGCCTCCATCAGGGGACAAACGCCTTTTGTTGTGACTTCCAGGAGAGCAAGAGGATGGTCATGATCCTTATATTCTCTTCTGTTGGAAAGGGTTTACTCCTTGAAGGAGCTCCTTGCGGTACAGCTTGGACCCACTCAAATACCTGTAGTCACCTTGTATGTTAACAGTTGTACAGAAAGGACCAGGCTTCAGCTCATGGTCGTAAGCTCAGAGCAACACTGAGCGGTTAAGAACGTGTAGAAATCTTAAAACCCAAGGTCAGAGGTCCTTGTCCTTCCTTCAGCTGCCTCAAAAAGAAAACTAGATTACGTTGTGATTCACCTTTGAAATCCTTGAATCTTCAAGTATAATTGCTAAGTAGTGGGCTGGTCTCTGCCTGTACAAGTGGGACATTTCCTCCTTGGGGAGCCCTCAGTCACTTTCTGGGGTGTCTACAACGTGGACTTGGAGATTAATGGGAGCCAAGGGCCGAAGAGGGAGGAGAAGAACAGCAGGGGCAAGGTGACCTTGAAGAGGCTGGCAATCGTCGTGTGTACAGAGGGGGTGCACAGCCTCCTCCACATCTGAGTGCAACCAGTCAGACTGAGTTAGCGATCTCACATGGAATGTGGGGTCCAACCTTTGGTTGGACTTCAAGAGCGCTGCCTGGGAGGTGGGTGGAGATGAGGACTCAGGGTCCTCTTCAGCTGCCCAGGTCACAGGGGAGCAGGAAGAAGCTGGTGTCCACGAAGATGTGTCCACGAAGATGCTGTCTCCAGGCCAGCGTGCCATGCAGGGAAACGAGAGACCGGAAACCCTGCTCATGCCTTGGGGTGGGAGTAGCTCCCCACCGAAGTGCTGCCTACCGGGTTGTTTTATCGTGAAACTTGTCATGATCCAGCCTGAGGTCAGAGCAGAAATCGGCTCCTGAGTGTCTCCAAAGACAAGAGGGTGGGAGAGCTGTTGATGGGGCTTTTGCTGGGTCCTCAGCACAGTCCTGAGCCCTCTGCCTGGGTGATGTTCTTTCATCCTCACTGCACCGCTGTGGGGTGAGTCTTACTTCCTTCTGCAGGCAAGGAAGGCAGAGAGAAGTAACTCGCCCCAGTCCGCACCGACATTGGCACGTTTGTGGGGAGAGAGGGCTTGCACCAAACTGTGAACCCCAGGAGCTTGTTTGAAGGAATTTGAAACGGTTTTCATGGATTTTGTTTGCGTGTGTTCGTTTTACCATACGCTTGTTTGCAAGCTGTTTTCTCCTCCTCCCACCCCCTTTCTACACTGCAAGTGACCCCCAGGGAGCTTGGAGGTCTCTAGCCCGTCACAGCTGAGCATGAGTCAGGACCCAGCTCCCCTCCAGGAGCCAGTGACCTTCTCTGGGGCTCAGGTCTGAAGACGAGCAGTGAATTTTGAGGTCTGAGAAATGTCTGCTTGTAGAGTGATGAATGGAGGAGGGAGCCGGCAGTGCTGGAGGATGGAGGCTCTGGACAGGCAGAGCCCACGAACAGGGTGCTGGGCGGAGGAGGTCAGCTGCTCTGTCCTTGGTCTCCTGTTCCATGTCCTGGGGATTTCAGGTTTTGTTAGGCTGCAGAGACCTCCAGGGTGGCCCAAGAGAGGGGCGGGGAACCCGCAGGGCCTGAGACAGCCAAAGCCAAGCTGAAGCCCGGAGCGCAGACTCTTGACATTTTATCAGCAGCATCAGCACCTGCTTTAGTTTCGCCTCCAGGGCTTCCACTTTCTCTCTCCATGTTGGTACCAAGAATTTGTCCTGCGTTTTGGGGGGCCCTAGAAATGAAATCTGTTCAGCTGAGAAATATGCCCTCTTACCTCTTCCAGGCTACAGAGGGTCTAGGTCTCTGTAAGGTTGAAGGAAGAAGAAGGAGAAGAAAAAAAGCCCCAAACAAATGGAACACTCATTCCGGCCATTGCGGGATATCGCACCAGATCTTTTACTGGTGAATTATTAATAAAGCCTGTTTTTGTTTAATGCCTGCTAATAATTTCTAAAAACAGATCTACAACTTCAGCTGTAAATGCATGTCCATGAATCACTCCACTGAAAACCCAGCTGTACGATTAGCAAAAACCTCTGGCGGTGAAACAGTTCTGTCTTTCCAGCCCTCCCCTCCGGGAAGGCAAGAAGGGCCCCCAAAATATAGCCACCCAGGTCGTCAGCACCCCTATTCAAGGATGGGCAAAGGGAATGACTGTGGGATAGCAGAGCACTGAGACCTGGGACGTCCTGGCTGATGACTTTGACTCAGGAGAAAACAGCCCCACACAGCTTCCTTCAAGCCTATGAGACACCCAGCTTTCCCCAGCAACCCTCAGAATGCATGTTCTGATCCCCAACTAGTACAGGAGAGAAATATGACCACAGTAGGGGTCAGAGAAACCCAGTAAATGGCAAAGCCAAGGTTTGAACAAGGGACAGTATGTTGCCAAAAGCTTTGTCTTCCAAAGACCCTTAACTGCTGGCCAAATGGCTCCAAAATTCACGCAGTTTGTGTTTCTATAAGGGAAAAGAATAAAAAAAGTGCACATGTTCTTCCAAGAAGGATATAGATCTTGGGGTACAGATAGAGCAATTGCCGTGTCTGCTTTGAAAGTGCTCCAAGGAAATTCTGACATCTGCCTGCCCCCTTCATGAAGGCCACTGAGTTTCTGCTTGGGACAGTGATCAGAGCCCAAGTGTTACGGGGTTGCACCCCTCATATCGGGGTTGCTAGGGGATATTGATTTCATGCCCACAGTGACCGGATACTACACTGAACACCAAGAGCCCAGTGGCCTTCAAAGCAGGTGTGGGCCCTGCTCACGGCAGGCATAAGCATGTGTTACACACAAATTGCCTCTGTGATACCAGGAGGGCTCATCTCAGGGTCTGAGGCATCCAGAGTGACCACAGCGTTCCGAACAGAAAGCGAAGTCAGAGCCAACAGGGGACGAGAGGAAGGAGGAGGCTCCGGCCCCGGGCTGAGGCCCAGGGGGCGGTGCCAAAAGCAGGCCGTGGCTGCAGACGGGAGGAGCTGGGCCTTGTCAGTGTGCACAGCCACCTGAAGCAGGCAGGGGGAAGACAGTGGGGCGACCGGCAGAGGGGAACGTTGCATTTGGGTTGTTTGCGTTCCCTTGATCGCTCTGTGAAAATTGGCAAAGAGGACAGGAAGGCAGCCAGACAGGACACAGCTCACCAGGCCGTGGAGGCAGCCAGCATCTCTGCAGGGACTGTGGCAGCATAAACCCATGCTCGGGGTGCCGAAAAGAGAGCCGCCCCCCGCACACCTGGGAAAGACTTAGGAGGCCCGATTGTCCAGTCCAAGCCGGAGCACAATGCCAGTCTTTCCGGGGGAGAGAGGGTGTCCGGGCTGCCCCTGACCTTTGCAGCCAGATGGATAAGCTGCGGTCACTGAGACCAGGGAAAGGCCAGCGGTGCGTGGTGGGAGCTGGGTAAATCATGTCCCGCCTGGGCTCTGCGAGGCCTTTCAGATTTCCAAGAGCAAAGGTCACCTAGGCGTCTGGGAAGGTTGAGGCCACACAAATAGCATGGCAGTTGCCCCCTCAGCAGCGGCGCTCAGAGCTGTGCCCCACACGGAGTGCGAGAGGCGGCTTTGAGGGACTTTAGGACCCACCCCAGGGGCCCTAAACTGCCCAAACAGGCCTCGCCAGAGAGGAGGAGGAGCCCGGAGGTAGTTGATGGTGTGGACCCCAAAAGCAGTGTGTGGACGTGGGGTGGTCAGCCGGGCCTGATCTTGTCCAAGAGCCGCCGGGCCCGGCTGTGCAGGGCTCCAGAGAGCGAACTGGAATTTGGGGCGAGGGCGGACAGGGATGGGCTGGGGCGGCGGGCGGCTGGGGGACTCACATGCGCCGGGCTTCATGCTGAAGGGAGGGGAGGAGAAGGGCGGGACGAGGAGATGAGTGAGGGCGCGAGGACTGGGCTTCACTGGGAGAACTACAGCAGTGGTGGAGAGAGGGCACCTGTGCCCTGGGGCGCTCAGCACCAGGCGATGCCAGTCTGACGCAGCCACTTTGATACCGGACATGGCAGTGCAAAGGAGGCGAGGCTCATCCTGCTGCAGTTTCCGTGCCCTGCCCATGCTGGGCCGGCGTAAGCACAGAAGCAGATGGTGGGGTCTGGCGGAGGACACTGCTCACCTCATGGCCACCAGTAAGCAGAGCGGGCAGAGGAGGGGGAGCCAGGGAGGGGGAGACCTTTCCAGGCCACGTCCCAGGGACCAGCTCTTCTGGCCAGGCTCCGCCTCCTGCAAGTCAGCTGTCATCCCCCGATCCTGTCACCCTGCACAGTCCACCTCTGAGCACATGCGGCTCCCCGGGGGTGTGAGATGTAACCCTAATACTGCCTGTCTTTCTGCCACTCCAGGGATGCTCCTGGCTCCTCGGCAACTCGCTTACCTGTGGGGCAACCGGGACCTGCAGGGGCCTGGTGCCTGAGGGACGGCGCTCAGCCGCGGGGGTACAGGCCTGCCGTCCCCAGCAGGGTGATTCTCAGCTGGGCTCCACACAGACCTCCAAGGACGCCGAGTCCCAGCTGCCCTGAGCCTAGGTGCCACTCCCCCACCCCCTCCATGGTGACAGCTTTCCTCTGTCTGCCTCCCCTCCTCTCTGCCTGGGCTTCCTGTGGTCACCCAAGGTCACACCCTGGGGCCTTCTTTGGTGGGGACTGGAACTGAGGTGTGAGGGAAGTTTTCTAGGAAGACGCATGAGGAGGTGGCTGACTTCGAGTGCTCGGGAGCGAGCGGTGCAGGTGAGCCTTTTGGCCGGATAGGTCCTCCGGGCTGCCTGCTGTGTGCCCTGAGGCAGAGGTGGCCTAATCGCCTGCTGAGACAGGAGTGCGCTGGGCTGGGTCCGCAGCACAAAGGCCCTGGAGGAGGTTGCAGGACTCACAAGCAGAGGCAGCCACACACCCAGGGGCTGCCGGGGGCTGTGATAGGGAAGTCACTCAGCCATCTCCCTGGGCACAGAGAAGGTGCACAGCCAGGCTCACCCACAGGGGCCACCGGGACAGGCTGGCGCAAGTGTCCCCTGAGGTCGGGGTGAGTATTTTAGGTCCCGCAGGTCACGCAGACCCTGTGCGGACAGCTAGAGCTGCCGTCTGAGCACAGGCGGGGCCAAGGGCGGCCTGCAGAAGCATCAGCCCATGACATGGGCCTGGGGTTCCTGAGCCCCAGGCCGGGTCGGGGTGCAGAGGAGGCGGTGGGGAGTCATGGTGGGGATGGCAGCAGCTGAAAGGTGGAGGGAGCCTGGGGATGGACAGGCGCTGTGGGAGTGCCGGTGTCCCCGTGGTGGCCGAGGGTGACTTGGGCGTGGGGTGGTGGAGGGGATGCGAGCTCCTCGCGCACACTCGATTGACGCCAGGGAAGGTAGTCTCTGCCTGGAAGGTCCCAGCGGTGCAGGGTAGGGCAGGAGCCACTGCTGGAGGCTAGGAGCCCCCAGGCCTGTGCCGTGGGCCTGGTCCTGTGGGCCTGGTCCCACTGATACCAAAGCTGCTACATTCCGTGGAGACTGAGTTCATCTCCCTTTGTGAACCCAAAGGAGCTGCCAGCTGCCGTGAGGACATCTGCATTCTCTCCTCATTCCCGGCCAGGGGAATCTTCCGGAAGCTGTTGGCTGCCCCTCCCCTGGCCCTAGAGCCTGCTATGGCTCACCATTACTGAACAAGTAGGCCTCAAGCTTCTTAGCAAGATGTGGAAATCCATCACCGTCTGTCTCCACCCTACATTTCTAACTCCCTTCCCATGATGCATCAGCGTGCCACCTGTCTAGTGCCCTCCAGGGTGCTCCATGGCCACTTGTGCCAGCTGTGGGTGACCCCTGTCCTGCCAGCTCAGACTGTCTCCGTCAACCACGTGCACCTTTCCTTCCAAGAAGCCGCCGCAAGGGCAGCCCCCTCCCCGCGAGTGCTGGCATCTCCAGTGTGGCCTCAGCTCCTGGCTTCTGCCCGCGCCTCCTGCCTCGCCCTGCCCCCACACGGCCCCTGCCCTGTGCTGCAGGTCAGGGCTGCCTTTCTGTTTGGCTGTGACGCCTGCCAGGGCCGGCCCCTGCACAGTTCCAGTACTCAGAAGAGCTCACGAAGCGTGTGCAGAAGCCGGCTGCATTGTCCCCTCCTGCTGGTCCTCACTCTGCCCGTTCAGAAGGACGCTCAGAGGTGACCCTCCATAGCAGAGGGGCCCTGGGGCCACAGGAGCCTGGGAAACACGGAGCTGTGCCCAGTGTGATGGCCCCAGAAAGCATTCGGGACAGCAGCTACTATAGCACCACATCCGGGCTTCTGGGCAGCAGGACTGTGTCCAAGGTGGAACCATGGTGTGGTGACTCAGCTCCCCAGGCTTGGCCATGGGCCCCGGGCGGGCAGTAAGCGAGACATGCCCATCCTGCATCCCACCTGCCTCCCAGGGATGCCAGGCCTGCAAGGGTGAGGACCATGCAGGGCAGTACCCCATGGCCCAGCAGCCCCACCTACCAGCACCCTAGCCGGGGCACCCTGGACCTTGGAGACCCAAGACTTGGGCGGGTGTGGACTCAGCTCCAGGCAGGCCCGGCTCTCGTCCCTGGAATCCGAGTCATCCGCAGGCACTGGCGGGGGCTGCTCCCTCATCAATTCTGCATCTTCCTGAAAATGTACTTTGAAACCCTTAATTGCATTGCAGAGATAACCCTGCCAGCCAAGTGGCCGGAAGAGAAACCAGAGAGAGAGGGTGGTGGTCAGGCTCTCTGCTGGAAATCAATCAAACCCTTGCAACTAATGCAGCTGGGGGCTGCTCCCCAGGAAGCATCAGCCCTATTAGCAGGGCTGGCAGGGATGCAGGATGAGACATTTATGGGCTGGGCGGGGAGGAGGACGCCACCGGTCAGCAGTGTGTGCAGCCCACTTGGAGGTCCCTGGCTGGTTCCTCTATCTCCGTGCCCCACCTGCCTGGCACATTTGCGCCATTGCACCTGAGCCAGGAGAA